TTTTTCAATTACTAGTGCCCAGTTCTAGAGACTAGGAGACATGAGGATATTTCCACTCCCAATACTCTGCTTGGCACAGTCCTTCATTTACCTCTTTCAAGTACTGCTTTTCAACCTGCATTGCTGTCTCCACTTCTCAATCCCCCCTATCACCTAACATACTATGTAATTAACTTATGTCCAGTGCTTATTCTGTATCCATTTAAATAGAGCTCCCAGCCTTGCTGGTGTGGCTCAGTGGTTGAGGGTCTACTCATGAACCAGGAGGTCACTGGTTCGATTCCTGGTCAGGGTTATTAGGGTTAGGGTTAGGGCACATGCCCAGATTGTGGGCCTGATGCCCAATGGGGGCATGCAGGAGGCAGTCAATCGATGCTCTCTCATCAATGTCTCTCTCTCCCTCTCCCTCTAAAATCAATAAAGAAAAACAAACACAGCTCTCAAGGGTACAATGTTTTTCATTCATTAATGTATCACAAGGATGAAAAACTGCTTAGGACATGGTAGGTGTTCAAAAATTGTTTAATGGATAGGAGTTAAACTGGTTAACTCTTCTGAAGAACACTCTTAACAATATGAACTATTGTCATTATGACTAAGAATTTATCCTAAGAAAATAATCACAGATGTGAGTGACCAATGTTTACCTAAAAGTTTATTCATCTTGGCTGTAAAAAACTGGAAACAGCCTATAGTAAAACATTTAAAATGACGTGGAATACTTAAATGTTATGAAATGTTCATGGTAATGTTTACTGGAAAAAGTATACTCAATAATTCATTTTTTGTCTTCAAGAGTACACCATTTTATTAACAGGAGGTAAATAAATTATGGTATATCCATTTAATGGAATACCAGATGAAGCTACTTTCTGTTGTCTTAATATGGAACCAATTCTACAACTTACTGGAAAAAAACCAAACCAAAACAAAAAAAAGGACCTTAAAAAAAATAGTAAGGCTGCACTACATGGAACTGATATAGAACCAATTTCCAAGGTACACTGTTCAGTGTAAAAAGTACCCAGTACCATTTAAATTTTTTTTAATGTTTTTATTGAATTGAGAGAGAGGGAGGGAGAGAGGAGAAACATCCATCAACTGCCTCCCACGTGCACCCAGACCAGGGATTCAACCCTCAACCTTTTGGTGAACAGGGCAATGCTCAACTGAGCCACACCAGCCAGGGCCATACCATTTAATTCTTAAAAATAGGTTCTAGTTTGCCCTGGATGGTGTGGTTCAGCGGCTGGAGCTTTGGCCCATGGACCAAAGAGTCACGGGTTTGATTCTAGTCAAGGTCACCTCAGTTGTGGTTCGGTCCCCAGGCCTGATTCAGGTAGTACAGGAGGCAGCCAATTGATGGGTCCCTCTCATATCAATGTTCCTCTCTTTCTCTCTCTCACCCTCCCTCCTTTCCTCCCACACTATCTGAAGATAAATAGAAAAATATCCTTGGGGGTTAAAAAAAAAAAAGTTCTAGGTTATGTACCCTATTCATGACTAGATAAAAATATTATAAATTTTAAAATATTTTCCCTTCTAAATTTTTTTTTGTTGATCCTCACACGAGGATATGTTTATAATAATCTTCAGATAGAGCTGGAGGGAGAAAGGGAGGGAGGGAGAGACAGAGAAACATCAATTGGTTTCCACCTGCACAACCCCAACCAGGGCGGGGGACAAACTGCAACCAAGGTACGTGCCCTTGGCCAGAATCGAACCTGGGACTCTTTAGTCCACAAGCGACGCTCATACTGCTGAGCCATACTGGCCAGGGCCCCTTCTACATTTTTAATGTAACAATTACATTTTTGGAAAATTAAGAAACAAAATTATCTCCCCTCTGCCTTCATAGAGCAGTTAAGTAGTAGAATAAGCAAAAGCACTTCTCCAGCTCAAATAATTTTACTACTAAATTTACACTAAACCCACAAAGTTAATTGCAAATAAAGTGAAAATTGCTGTCCAGGTTAACTTCCTAATAAAATTATTAGATATGAAATCTGTTCTGAAATTATGTTTCATGAAACAATTTCAAAAGCTGTTTAACTGTGTTCAATTATAAAACCTTATGACAAACAGATAAAGACCAGCTATTTGGTATACATATTGAAAACTGAAAGCTCAAAGGGAGATAGAGCATTCTGCCCTCTTAGAGACCTCACCAGTGGGCCATGAAAGTGTACCTCAGGCATTCATTCAGAGGCCCCTTATTGAGAAGCCTCTATTCTCTCAGCCTCTATCTTATTTGTCCTCAGACACACTAAAAGAAATTGTCACTTGGTGACAGCAGCTGTTAGTACCCAGGGCTTTGGGGTATGTCAGACCTGGGTCGGAATCCTACCTTCACAATTTTATAATGTAGTAATCTATAAACCTCAATTTCTTATCTGCGAAGTAAAATACAGACATCACCAACAGGTTAATGTTAGCAAGAGTACAGTATCTGAAAAAGTGAAATGAAGGAGGAATCGTTCAAACAAAACAACTAAAAATCCCCAAAGTAAAATCTTTCAACACAGTAGAAGAACCCAAAGGAAACAACCCCAAGGAGCTCAAGGCAGGAGCTCTAGAGTCCAGTTTTGACCCTGCTACAACTAGTTCCTGCTCCAAGGACACATTATTTCACTTATGTAGGTTCTAGTTTTAAGAACTACAAAATTGGGGGACTAAAAATCCTTCCACCTGTATTATACCATGCCTAACTTACCAGGATGCTATTACTGTTGTGCTTTCAACATTTCTAAAATTTTTCATTTAAATGCTTGGTTTTTAAAACTTCCAAGTCCTGATCAGTTTTCATTATGATGGAGTTACCAGACATAAGACCATGTAAGACTATTTCCCTAAGTTATCAAAGGTCAAATTGCTAAAAAGTGGCAAAATCAAAATTCAAACCATATCTGACTAATTCTGACCAAACTGTATGGCATGCGTCTTCCTCAGACCTTCTCCCTGATTATCTCCTGGTAACAGCATGCCTTTGCAAAAGGGCTGGAAGCCAGGAGTCATGGAGCAGAGTCAAGTTACCTGAGTCAGGTGGGGTTTGAACTTCTGAGACAGTAAGTATTCTAACCAAGTTAATTAGACATTTCAGCTACTTAAGAGAAGGCTAGAGAAAAAAAGGTAAAATTATCAAGAAAACGTATTAATTGAAGACAAAATAATAAAGCACCTTTGACACTACAAGTAAACAGAGTCAGTTCATTCACATACATTTCAGGAGTCAAAGTTGCACAGGATCAAATATAAGCAAAATAACTGCTAGATTATCTGTACTATTCACTTGCTTTTATGCAAGTATGGAAATAATTAAGAACAGACATAACTAGGTTACTCACAATAGTAAATGGAGGAGTAACAGATAACCCAAAGTACATGTAATTCAGCTTTAGGGTAAGGCATATGGTCTAAATAGATAATCCAAAGCAATAAATAGTATGTGTTAAAATAAAGTACAATGCTCATCTATATATACACCTCCCAAATTGTAGGTTGATTCAGGCTAATATCAAAATTAATTTCCATGTGGAGACCAGGACAGAGGACTTAATAATAATACAGTGAATAATAAAATCACCACCTCCTTAATCAGCAAAAAATGTTTTATAACATATACATATCAGCTCTACAGGAAACTAAGGCACAAAAAGAAAATGAGTAACATTTAAATTCCCACTGCATCCTAAAACCAGGTTAGCTCCTGGCGGTTTCCACTAACCCAATCTGTGATTAACTATTGGTTTTCGAATAATCCATACATGAATAATCAAGAGGCAAACACACAAACATATATAAACTCATATTTAAATGTGTTGGTTACCAAGCACTTTACAAAATAAAAAATTTCATAAGACAGCTGACAGAAATGGAGCAAGAGGTGAGGTAACCTACCACTTTAGCTCTATTGACAGAAGTCATTATGTGTTCTCAAACATTAGGTAGAGCCAAAACAACATACACCCCTATCTGGTATTGTCATACAGAAGGGAAGCCGAGGAAAGCCTCTGAAATGCGTTTTATAAGTTCAGAAAGAATTAGATGGTATACAACTCCACATAACAAGTGTCAAGAAAATAATGCATGTTTTCTGAACACGAACTGTCTAAAAGACAATTTCCGAGACCCTTTGCAATTAAATGTTAGTACAAGAGAAACTTTTTTTAGACTGAGCCTCACTTGCTGAAGCCCCCTACTGGGCGTTTCTACTAAGCTGTGTCCAACTTTTGTGTTTCCCACAATAGCGCCAAGGTTATGCATCCTGCTGATAAAATCGGATATATGGCACTTAATACACCAAACCAGAATCGCCAACAGTGTTGTCTGAAGGCCTTTCCTGTCGCTATTGTGATGCCCACTCCAGAAGGTATCTGCATTCTGAGCAAGGACTTGAGGCTTAGGGAGAAGAGAAGCAGTAAGAGAAACCGGCCGTGAACCACAGTGGTCTGCCTGCACACTGCAAGCAGAGCGCTGCGCCAGCCAGGCTCAGGAAGTTGACTAACCCAGGGGAAAGCTCCTTGCCCTCTTAGAGAGAAGTGTGGCCAGCAGATCAAAATAGGCAAATGCATCCAAGAGTTCCCTGATGGCCTACCGCACTGACGTAGGAGGCGAGTGAGACGCTGGGAAGCAGGTATGGAAGAGAGACTAGAGTTCACGGACAGACTGATAATGATCCACCGCTCCACCGGGAGGCCCAAACTAGGGGAGCCCGGGGTGCCTCCTCTGGAGTTGGGGAGGTAATGACCGCACGGGCTCTGGTCCTCCTCCAACAGCCCTTTCCAGCAGGCATGGGGCTGCTGGGACCCAGGCCGGGCCTTCGGCAACAGACACTCCCTTCCACAAGCCACAAGGTTCGTGGAGCGCCACTCTCCAGGGCCGCCCCGAGGCCATGTGGCCGGGGCCGCAGGGTGCCCGACCCGGTGCCCGTTCACAACGTGAAACAGAGAGGAGGTGCGGGAGGAAATCCAAAGAACGGGATGTTGGGGTTCAAGACTCACTTTCTTTGGGCTTTGTCCTTCTTGGCCTTGGTCCTTTTCTTTCGGGCCTGGAGCGCAAGCACTGCAGGAGAGAGGGATGGATGAAGGGCGAATGTGGAGGAAAGGAGGCGACCAAGGTGAGGGCGGAGACCTAGCAGCGGCGCGAGCCCCGGGTGCGAGGCCTGCCTGAGGGGCCGCTCCGGGGCGAGCGCCGCGGCTTCGGCTGAGCGGCCGGCCAGGGGGCTGGCGGCCCACGGCGCGCAGAGCAGCGCCCAGGCGGGGTGCGCTGGAGGGGGCTCGGGCCGGGTCAGCGGGCCGGCGGGCGGGGACCTGTCTCGCCCGCGGGGAGCGAGGCTCTGCAGTGGCCCCAAGGCGCGGGCTGGCCTGGCGGGGAACAAGGGGCGATGATTGCCGGCGCGGAAGGACGCCCGGGTAGAGGGGCGCGGACTCGCAGCCCAGAGGCGGGGGTTGAGGGGCGGCGCCACCTCAGTTGGAGGGGCGCCGCACGCCCGGGTACCCGACTGCGGCGGTTAGGCGAAGCTCCCGGCGCTGACCCGGGCCTCGCCCCGGCGGCCGTTGCCCCTCGTGGCGAAGGCCGCTTCACCGCTCACCTTTCCGCTCCATGGCGAGACCGGTAACCACCAGGCGCCTGCGCACTCGAGGGGCGGCGACTCCCGCTCCCGCCGCGGACCAAAAGCAAGCCCGCGCACACCCCGCCCCCCGAGTTCCCGCCCCGCCCCGCCCCCGCCCCACGACGGCGCACGCCTGCGCGTAGAGTGCGGAGCCTACCACCTGCTCCCGAGAAGGGGGAGCAGGAAAGAATGGGGGCGGGGGCCGAAAAGAATGTGGAGCGTGAATGCTAAAGAGATGCTTGAGAACGGAGCGTGGAAGCCGGGCAGGGTGACGTTTGTTCCCTTTGCCCGGCGCTTGCCCCTTGGGAAGGGCGGAGAGCGCCGCTTTGAGGGCTCCCTGCGTGCTGAGTCAGACTTCCGAGGGGCACTGGCCTCAGTTTCCTGGTCTGTAAAATGGATTAATCAGGCGTGTCCTAGTGCCTTCGCTGGGCCGTGGGGGCCAACTGGGATACTATATAAAGAAAATGAGGAAAGAAGTAACAAGTGAGAAAGGAAAGGAAGGGCGACCAACCCAAAAGAAAGACTGGAAGGAAGGAAACTGTAACCCTGTTGTCTTTTAAATAGGGAATATAGTCAACAGTGTTGTAATGACTGTATGGTGCCAGGTGGGACCGGAAATATCAGGGAAACATTTTGTAAAGTATGTGATTCTCTAACCACTATTCTGTAACTAATACAAAACCCGAAACTAATACAAAATAATATTGAATGTAAAAAATAAAAGCAGCCCTGGCCAGTTTGGCTCAGCGGTTAGAGCCTCGGCCTGCGGTCCAGAGGGACCCGGGTTCGGTTCCGCTAAGGGCACGGTTGCAGTTTGTCCCCAGCCCTGGTTGGGTCGTGCGGGTGGCAGCCACCTGATGTGTTCCTTTCACGTCGATGTTTCTCTCTCTCTCCTTTCCACTCTATCTGAACAAAAAATGGAAAAATGTCCTCGGGTGAGGATTGAAAAAAAATAATAATAAATAAATAAAAGTAAATATCTTCTTAAAATTTCAAGTTTAAATGAAGGCTGTAAAGAAAGGGAGAGAATAAAAATAGTGTTTTTTTATGTACCCCTTTATTATCTTTTGAGTACATGATAAACACAGTTGTCTTTATAGGATGCTTTTATACTTTTCTAAGTACATTATCTCATTTGATGTTAATGACAACTTAAAGGAAAGATAGTTATTCCCTCCTCTATACAAAAAATGAAAAGCTTGGAGGGTTATGTATTTAGAATTTTGGTTTCTGGCCCCAGTGATTCAATCCATCATCAAACCCTTATTGTGAAGCAGGAGTAGTAAAGTTTTTCGGTGAGGGGTCAGGTGGCAAATATTAAAGCATGTGGGCAATAGGATCTCTTTTTTCAAGTACTCAACTCTGCCACTGTAACTGAATAGCAGTCATGGAAAGTAGAGGTTTACTTATGGTCTCTGAAATTTGAATTTCATGTAATTTTAACAAAACACTGTTCTTCTGTTGAACTTTTTTTCAATTATTTCAACCATTTTTGGCCCAGGTCTTAGTTTACAAACTAGGGTTGTAAAGTTCTGTAGCTGGACAGGATGGGATTTCTGAAGACCCTTGCCCTCAAAGAATTTAGGCTCCAGTGGGGAAGACAGACAAGTCATTAATTGACCGAGAAAGGAAGATGACAGGACAATAGTACTGCACAAGTCAAGCGTGGGGGCTTGGGCGGGATTTTATTGGGCAAGGTAAGTAAGTCCAGTCCGGGAGGAGGCAGCTTTTGAGCTGTGTCTTGGGAAATGTGTAGGATTTCCCCAGGTGTAGAAGGAGAGGTCAGGCATTCCTGAATGAGAAGATCAATTGAGCAAAAAGGCACTGACTTGGAAACTTATGGGCAGGGGCTGGGGCTGGTAATGACTAAAGGAATGAAGTGGAATGTGAGGCTGCAAATGTAGGTTTGCCAAATATGAAAATTAGCTAATTAATATGTGTTGCATGGAACCTGAATGATAGCATTTCTGGGCATATTGCAAAAGAGAACACCACCTGTTGGCCAAGGAAAACTGCAACTTAGTTTCCTCCCCTCTCTATACGTAAGAGTAAGTTGGAGAATTGGAGCCAGACACTGAAGCCCTGGAGCCTGAGGATTCTGCTAGCTCAGGAAAACCACATGTGATTTAGGAAAGACCGGAGAAAGCTGGAGGCTGAGAAAAAAAATTCCAGAATCAGGAAATTATTCCCCACCAGGAAGCAGACTGTGAGAGTAGGGACCCTGTTTGCGTTTTTCTTTATGCAACCTCGTGCCTAGCACAGTGTCCAACACTAGCTATAGATGATGTACTGTTTATGAACATGTCTGGACAAGAGAGACAACACTGAGAGGGACAATGTGAGAGCTGTGCTAAAACCCAAATGAGTTAGTGCAAACCCATCAAAAAGGAAGGAAGTTTATCTTGGCATGACTCTCTCATACCTATCCTGACTCTGAGTGACTATTGCTTCTCTAAGAACTTACTGGCCTTCTGTTTAAGAACTCATTTGAAATTTTTTCCAGAGTCAATGTCCAGTTCACTGGATTAAGGTCCCAAAATTGACCACTTCTCCTTTTGTTTTTCCCCCCACTCATTTTCTTTTTAAAAATTTTTTTTCTTTATTGATTTTAGAGAGACAGAGGAAGGGAGAGGGAGAAAGACAGAAACATCAATGAGAGAGAACATCAATTACCTGCCTGCTGCATGCCCACCACTGGGGATTTGGCCTACAACCTGGGCATGTGTCCTGATCGGGAATCAAACCGGCGACTTCTTGGTGCGTGGGTCGATGCTCAACCACTGAGCCACACCGGCTGGCCATCCCCCACTCATTTTCCCCTCATTCTCCCAGCATGCTTCAGTTCTCCACACCTGTTCTAAAATCTCTATAATTGTTTATATAAGCTAGTTTGTATTTCCCCCCTATTCTAAAGCCTGTACCTTTTTTTGTGCTCCTTGCTTTAAAGATAACTTTAAAAAATCACTCTTCCCCCACCCTTTCCAGTTTCACAGGGCTTGTCCTATTCTGGACTTTACCCTTCCAGAAGTTATTTTTAAAAGTATTGGCCATTTTTTGGCATTCATTCTCAGTTCCATGCATTTTCCTCTCCCACAACTATTTTTCTGCATGTCCTTTTAAAAGTAGAATTATTCAGAGAACATGAGCCAAAGTACGTTTTGCTGCTCACAGGCAGTGTTAGAATTTAATTCCTGAAAAAAATCCCATTCCCCTTTAGCTAACTTAGTTTTTAAGACTGCCCTGAGACCTTCCCTAATGCTTCTTTGACATTTTTGAAATCTGAGCTCCTAAAGTGTAGGACATATGTTTCATTATACCCAACATTTCCTGCCTTGGTTACCACAAACTGTTACACTTGGTCCAAAGTTTTGATCTGAATTAAATCCTAAGTATCACTTTCCCTTATGGCTTCCCCAATGTCCTGTGAGATGAAATGGACAACAGAAGAAAGTGAAAATACATCAGATACTTTATGTCGAATGACACAAGATTCCCAGTAGATGTCTGCATAATTGGAGAACCCCAATAGAACTTTATCTAGCCCTTGTGATAGTTTTGTGAAGCATATTAGGAAATAATTATATTCTAAACTTGAGTATCAGGAAACACATGGCACATTCAACAGAATAATTAAAAAGAACTGAATGAAGGGGTTGAGGTGTGGAGAAGGAGACCCACGGGGATGATGAGGCATCCAGGCACTGACAGCAAGAGTCTTGACCACCTCCGGCTTGAAGAAGAAAGGGGCAGCCGCTGGATGAGTCTGCTAGGGTTGCCATCACAAAGCACCACAAACTGGTGGCTTACACAACAGAAATGCACTGTCTCAGCCCTGGAGGCTAGAAGTCTGAAATCCAGATGTCAGCAGGGTTGGTTCCTTCTGGGGATTGTGAGGGAAGCATCTGTTCTCTGTCTTTGGATTGTAGGTGGTCATCTTCTCCATGTCTGTTCATATTGTCTTCCCTCTGTGTGTGTGTCTCAGTTTGTGCCCTAATTTCTCCTTTCCATAATGACATCCATCATATTGGATTAGGGCTCATCCCAGTGACCTCATTTTAACTTGATTACCTCTGTAAAAAGACCTTATCTCCACATAAGGCCACTTTCTGAGGTTCTGGGTGTTGGACTGCAGTGTGTCTTTCTGGGGGGATCACAATTCAACCCATAAGGGCTGTAGCAGTAAGGAAGGGCTGCCTGCCAGCAGCTGGGCCGTTTGATAAAGGGATATAACCATTGTCCAGCACGGAAATAAATACCCAACTTCTTTCTCCTCTCACCCTCTCCAGCTAATGCCTCCCATGGACAAAACCCAACTGAGACTCAGAAGGGTGCCTGGGTGATGCAGTCCATGCAAACCAGACTCCTAGGGCACGGAGCAGGGTGGAGAAAGGTGGAGGGTGACTATGGAGGGGCAAACAGATGATCCAGCACAGCCTGTCTGGGCAGTTTGTAGGATACACCCAAAGCAGCTAGCACTTTCCAAGCAAGTAAGCCAGCTTCTTGGACTCCCTGATCCCGGAGGCTTGAGAACAGAAGCTAGAGATAGCCCCTTTCCTGGCTTTGTTCTATAACAGCTTAAGCTTCACAAGGAAACTGTGCGGGAGTGAAGGGCTGTGGGGAGGAGATGGAGGAGATGAAAGAGTAAAAGCTTTGGCTGGGTGGGGGAAACTATGCACGTTCTTTGAGGTCTCAGCATTGCCCTTTGGATGCTCTGGCAGTGCATGAAGGTTGGAGGGGGGAAGACATTCTCCAGCAACGAGGCTACAGAGATCGGTGGTTCCCCAGGCAGGTAAGGCCCTTGCTGTGCCCCTGCTCTGGGGAGGCAGCAAAGTGTTGCAAACACTTTGTAGTATTTGAAAAAACTGCAATAGAGTGAAGCCATGAAAGTGGAAGTGCGAAGTGGTGAGGGAAGACTGTGTATAAATAAAGAATCCTACTGGGTGGAAATTCATTTGTCATGTAGAGTCTGGTACTGATTAACCACGATAAACGAGGGCTGCCTGTAGTTCTTTTTTGTTATCGTTAATCCTCACCAGAGGATGTTTTTC